TTTTTGGAGAGTTAAAAATGGCCCGCCCTGACTCTCCTTCATATACAGACACTTATACAAACACCTACACACACTTAAATGGGTGGGGGTCACCACTGAAATTTTTATTTGTTTGTTTGTTTGTTTGTTTGTTTTTGGTGACTTAGGGGGCATGGGCCAGAGCTTGCTGTGGTAGTTCCCTATGTGTATTTGTTCAAGTACATTGAGGGTGTGTTGGGCAGAATAACAGTATAAATTCATTAAGCATTAAAGAATCAGATTCCTTCTAGTAAGCAAGTTGAGAGATTTAACATTTAGCAAACAAGACTCCCAGCTACACAAAAGACTTTGTTCTGGGACTTGATGAGGCAGGAAACTTGGAAGGTGGGAATATTGTCATCCTTTTCCTCCCTCCACCCCCTGCCTTTTTTGCAGGGTTTGGAGGGAAAGCAGATTTAGAAATGCAGAGACCAACATGTGAGAACTTCAGAGAGCAAGATTTGAATATAAGTATTCTAGGTGTTAGTCTTTGTTCTGATATTAATAGTTTCATTCTTTTGATTTTTATGGTATGAGATGTTTATGCATTTATTGTTGTGAAATTCTGACCAAGTCAAATAATGTGTACCCTGTTTGATAGATATTTAAAGTGTGGTGCCATTATGGGATTAATTCCTTTCCCCCAAAATATTTATTTTTCAAGTGCCAGTGTCTTCCTGGATATATGAGAAAAGTATAGAAGTTAAATAACAACTAAAACTGCTTCCTACGTGTATAACATTTCACAAATCTTTTTAAGTTGAGAGTGATAACAGTAGCAATTATTTTACTGTATTAATGCTGCCAGTGAAATAAGATTATTTTTGGTATGTGATTTTGGAGATCTTAAATGTAGCATTCTCTCCAATACAAGAGATATTATGGCTCATGAGATCTTTAGCTACTGATACTGTCTTGGGATGCAGACTGATAAGTAATATATTAATCAGATGTCCTCTTTTATGTAAGAAGGCTTAGATGGTATGGTATATTTATCATCAGTTTTTGAAAACTTGTATAGATCATATTGAGTCTATTTTTTTCTCTTCTTCTAGGATCGAAGTAGAATGTATGACAGTTTGAATATGCACTCTTTGGAAAACTCCCTTATTGATATTATGAGAGCAGAGCATGATCCTCTTAAGGGTAGGTGGCTTTTTCTTCTCTTGTATCACCCACCGCTTTGTCTCACCATTTTATGTAGGAAAATGAGCACTAAGTAGCACTTACGTTATCTATAAAATTGTACTATGTTTGTTAATAAAAACCTTTGTGAAATGTCATACTTTTTCCTTTGTAGCTTATATAGATACCTGCTGATTTATGCAGAGAGAAATGTAAACCTGTGTCTCTTGTTATTTAACAAACAGCCACTGTTTAGAGATATCTTGCAGTTTACCAGAGGTTGAAGAAAGGATCTAAAATTGTTTAGTTCAGGGGCACTTGGGTAGGTCACTGGGTTAAGTGTCGGACTCTTGATCTCAGTTCAGGTCTTGATCTCAGGGTCGTGAGTTCAAGCCCTGCACTGGGCTCCACGCTGGGTGTGGAGCCTACTTTAAACACAAATGAAAATGAATGAAGAATAAATACATAAATAAATCTGCATGCACCGTATTAGCTTCAGCCCACACACTTGAAAAAAAAATTATGAAGTAACTTTTCCAAAATTCTATCAAATGCAGAAATAAAAAAAAAATGCCTTGGAATATTTGTATTTACAGTTCACAGTGATTCCAACCTAAGATTGTCCTTTCCCCATTTTTCTTCTACCATCATAGGATTTTGAAAGGGGATATTTTATGGGAGCTTCTCTGAGGTTTCATACAAGTTGGGACGAATTAGGAAAAAGAGCCCCACTGATCCCACAGTATCAGCCTTACTGTTAACTGTATCTGAAGATATTCCATTAACATACTTGTTTTTATTTGTCTGTACATTACTTATTATTTTACATTTCTTTGTGCAATATATCTCCTTGCCTTTCAGTAGTAACAGTGAACATCTAGCAAACTGTGTGCACTTGGGTGATAAGAGATATGTCATTTATTGCTGCATAATAAATTATTCCACAATTTAGCAGCTTAAACAACAATAAATATTACCTCACAGAGTTCTACGGGTCGGGATTCAGGAGCAGCTTAACTGGTTAGTTCTGGCTCTCTGAATCAAAACCATGTGTTACTTGGTAATTTGTCCATATTTTTAATTCTATAAGGCCAAATAAGAATTCCCTTATAAGATTTTAGCCCAAAACTGTAGCACTTCAGTGTCGGCAGCAAGGTGGTGGCTTGAGGCTGTGTTGGCAATACTGGTCAGTTATCCAAACGGTTTGTTCTGTTTCTGGATTTTGTTAGTTTCTTATCTAATTCCCTTATTTTTAAGGGGCTTAAGAAGTTAAAGGGATCATCGTTAGTGATTGTTAGCAATGTGTGGGGATGGTAATTCTCCTCCTCAGAAACTAATAAAGATTATTATACTTTGGGATTTTGGGGGTTTTTTTGG